TAATAGTATGCACTAGGTCTTGTAATCAGGACATCCTAGTCTGACAACGGCCTAACAAACTCCATAAGGAGCCTCTTCGATGCCCATCATCCTGTTGAAGTAGATTGGTGCTGCCAGGAGCAGATGTGTCTCATTGTCATGAAAAACCCTAAGTTCTTAAAACCTTTGAAACACCGTATTCTTGAAAGGTTTGAAGAATGCCTATCTATCTGAAATATATCTCTATACATCTGGAAAACCTGACTAACATGACTACAGGTTTGACTATTATAAATGACTATTAATCTGTATTTCTTTTCTCTACATTACATTTTTAAATGAGCTGCATAAACAAAATAACCTTAAACATGAGCAGAAACAATATAACAAAATTGAGCTTAAATTTGTATCAATTGACCAAGATCCATGCCAATGCACAGTATTTATCTCTATATTATACCCCCTTTATATGTAAACAAACGTTTATAAACAATATTTGGGAATTTGGGTCTAGTTCTCTACAAACTGCGTCCTGCTTTTTGTTGGGTGAAGTACTTTGGGAGATTCACAAAGACCTTTTGGTGGGGGGGGTCTTGGCCCATCAAATCACATTAGCAGGTAAGGAATCCACAGCTTTCTATCCTCTGTGGAAACAAAAGGAGAACCTCTTTTTCAAAGCAACATATCCTTAGACCCAAATTTTGAAGTCAAGTTACCTTTAAAATATATATGTTGGTTTAGCTTAGTAGCCTGTACAATTAAATGTCTCTCTGTATTTAGCTCATTCACAGTCAAAAAGTTCAAAGAAAACAATAATATATATAATCCAGACTGTGTATTTTCCATCTTTACGTGGCTTTCTTTACTCTTTTATGACTGTCTGTACTCTGTCCTTTAAAAACTTTACTGTTTTTTATAACTGTCTATACTCTTTTCCCTCTCTCCCCCAAGTTTACATACATTTATTCAATACTGTGACACATTTGGGGATCTTTTTTTATCTGAATTTGTCCTTATTGTGCATCTGTAATTATTTTTTGACCAGGAGCACTTTTTTTTTTAAATGCTTAACAGGCGTGACTAGGACCAACTCCATGGTCCCACCTGCTTGCTCTGCCCAGTCTAACAAGGTGGAGGCATGTTTACTGCCAACTCTGCAAGTCATTCTCTCTGCCCCAACTCCAGGGAGGCAATGAGTCTATGTCTCCATTAAGCAAATTGTAACACGCATCACATAGACCCCATTTAAGTGCAGGACCTACCAAAAAAGCCAGAGCTATTTGTGCCAGCACAAACCAGGATGCCCTCCCCTAAAGAAGCCACACGGCCTTCACTGCCAATGCTGAGTCAGGAAGTCCTCTTTCAAAGAAACCACGTGTCTGCTTGCTGCCAAGCAAACAGAGCCTATCTGAAAATATGTTACCAAAAAACTTCTTGGCTCCCATTTTTGTGGGTCTAGAAACCTTTTTTAAAAAAGCTTTCTTAGACTTTAAGTGGAAATTTTTGCCCCATGTTGGGTGCCATTTTGTAGATGGAGGCTTCTCATTTATTTCCTGGCTGCCGACACTCAAATAATAACACAGAAACTATATTAATTACAACACTGTTTATCCACTAACTTAGGCATATTTTTAGCTAACTCATATCTTGTCAGCCCATTTCTATTAATTTGTATATCACTACAAGAATGTGGCCGACTGGTAAGGTTCTGGCTGGCAGCTGGCAATTTCTTCCTTCAGCAGCTACATGGCATCTTCTCAACTCCATCTACTTTTATCCTCTATCTCTGCTTGGAATTCCCACCTTGCCCTGTCATAGGCCCAAAGATTATTTACTAACCAATGGTAATAAAGCATATTCATAGCCTACAGAGGGGACTCTCACATCAGGGGTGTTAAAAGAGAGGCTGTAGGATGAAGTAGATTTTTTTCCCTAGGAGGTTAGAGAGATAGGTTTAAGTCCCCTAAGGCTCTGGATTGGAAGTGGGTACTGGGCTTGGGTAATGTACCATATTGGGTCCTCTAATTGAATGACAGTGGGGAAATGGTGTCTAGCAACAGAGGGTTTTGGGGTATCCCAGACTTGGGGTCCACCTGGGAGACTGGCAGAGGAAATGACATGTTGGAACCAGTAGAGTGAGTAGCTAGGAGGAGGAGGAGAGGAGATGCTGGCAAGTCTGGGGTCAGGTGGGTGTGGGGAACAACATAAATAGCAGCTCCTACTTTGACTTAAAGATCCCTTTCCAGTAAAGGCACAGGGCAGGTTAGCACAACTGCAAATGAATGAGCAAGAAGAATGCCCCTGAAATGCAATTGAGTGGTGGGGTCTGATGAGGTAGGTAAGGCTGTCCCTCTATCCCAACAATAGGGAGATGAGAAGGAGGGAGGGTAAAATTTCCCTCAGGACCAAGTATGTGGCACTGGTGTCCAGGAGGAAGAACATGGACTCCCTGATACTATAATGTCTACCCAGGGCTCCCTGTCAGAGACGATGGTAGTTGGGTCAAGAAAGCCTAGGTCCCTTCAGTTGTCCATGACCAGGCCTAGAAGGTCGGCTGGAGGGCAGTCTATATTTGATGTTCCCATGCCATGAGGTACATGGGGGCAATCAACTGACCAAGGTCCCTCTGGATTGCACTTTGGATATGGTCCAGGGGGCCCATGGGGATTAGGGCAAGCCAAGGTCCAGTGACCTTGCTGACTACATTTGAAGCAGTGACCTGGTGGTTCTCAAGCCCCAGGGACAGTCATTGAGGCTGGTTGGGTGGCCTTTTTTGGCATTTTTGTTTATGAGCTTTTTCATCTCTTTCATGGTACACCTTAAAGGCCACCACTCGGACTTCTACCTGTGGGGTTAGGGGTCCTCCCTCCAAACGCTTAAGTGTGGTCCTGATGTCAGGAAAGGTCTGGGGAAAGAAACAGGCCATAAGGAGTTGTCTGCCTTCTGGTCAGGGTCTAGGTTAGTATATTGTAAGAGGGTCTTGTGAGGAGGTCTAGGAAGTGAGATTTTCCTGTCTGTCTTGAACAATTTCTTGAAGTTTCTTATAGTTCACTGTCTTAAGGGCAGTGGTAAGGAGACATGCCAGCCGGCAGGCTGTAAACTGATCTTTATAGAGTGCCCCTGGGGATGGAATGCAGATCTCCAGGCCTGACCCAACCATAAAATGATTTTTGTTGCTACTTCATTGCTGTAATTTTGCTACTGTTACAAATTGCAATTATGTATGTAGCTAGATGGGTGGTGAACACTTTTAATCTCACCACCTGGGAAGCAGAGGCAAGTGGACCTCTATGAGTTTGAGTCCAGCCTGGTCTGCAAAGTGAGTTCCAGGACGGCCAGAGCTGCACAGAGGAACCTGTCTTGAAAATAAATAAATAAATAAAAATTTTTAAAAAGTGAATTCTAATGTAAATATGTGACCCTTGTGAAAGTATTATTTAACAGCGGGCCCACCCGCCCCGCAAAAGGAGTCTCAGCCCACAGGTTGAGAGCCACTGAGCTAAATCCTGCTAAAGCTATGCATTTTCAGTGAACAGCAATGAAGTGGAAGCACACGTGGAGTTGGCTAAGCACAGTTCAACCAGAGAGGAAGCTGTGCTCTGGGTGGAACTGTGAAGGCAGCCAGCGAGGATAAGAACAAGAACACTCAGGGTGTCACCACCCAGGGAATTTAGTTTGGGCGGGGGAAGAAGCCGGGCCCTGAGGCAAATGAGAGACAAGGAAAGACAAAAGAACCCAACAGGGTAAAGGATTACAGGAATACCCATGGGGAAAAGCGAGTTACAAGGATCAGGCAAACATAGGGAGGAAGAGCTGGCAAGGTAGAGATGTGTTCCTGAATCCTTAGGTAAGTGATAAGTTCAGTCTGCAGGAGTTGGGGTAAAGAGCCTCTCTGGTCATTTACAGAAATGAAGTCAGCTGTCCAAAGGGCCAAGATCGTAGGTGAGGTGTGTTTTGTCCTGGAACTGTGCTCACTGGAGGTGGTGAAGCATCTGAGCCTCAGGGAATGAAGGTGAGAGACAGGGTTGGAGAAGGCAGGGTCTGGTGCGGTTAGGCAGAGGCAGGTTTTAGAACAGCAAGAAAGAATGATAGCAAGCATCCCTCATAGCGCCCATGCTTCTTGCATTTATGAGAGAATGGCAGATGTTTGTCCCAAATTTCAGGTCCAAAAGAGAAGGAGGAACTTGGGAGGCGAGGCTGAAACTTTTTATTATATTTTTTTACATTTATTTATCGAAAAAAACCAGTGACTTAATTTTTAATTTTTGACATTGACTTTTGAATATGTATACACATATGTACCGGAACAATGGATGCCGAGAGACAACTTGCAAGCACCTGTTCTCTCTTCCACCAGGTGGAATGTGGGAGATAGAACGCAGATCTCCAGGCCTGACTTCTGAGCATCTCACCAGCCCCCAGATTGAAATTTGAAATCACAACAGAATGAATGAAAAGCTTTGCTAGAACGGAGTTTGTTCACGAAGAGAAAGGATGGAAGAGGGTAGGAGAGGGTGATGGAAGAGATAAGGAGCTGAGCTGGTCATCCAAATTCTAGTGAGCCTTAGACGGACTATTGCTTTGCACATGCGCATGCCCGAGTAAACTGAAAGCACAGAGCCCGATAGGAAGCCTCAGCTATGGTCAGAGACTGCAAGCAGCAGACTCATAATACTTCCGGTTTTCAGCTTTCCCTACATTTTTGTTCTTTCAAGTGTGTGGTATGGTTGTGTGTTGTTTTAGTTTTAAAACTCATAGGGTGTGAAAGCACTAAAGTGTACACATACCGCAGTTCTTAGCGATGAGGTTTTCTTTTTTATGTTTCTGTTTGTGGATTTGAGGGATCCATAATTTGGTTTCTCCACCGTCACCAGGAAACTTACAGAGATGTAAAAACTGTGCAGAGACCAGATGTGAGACCCGTTCACAGTCAGGTAGCAGCTCTGTCGCAGGATCAATTAACTAGACCGGGAAAGGGCTGCAATGCGTGTCTGGACTTCCTTCTAGTTAGGATTGTGGCTTTCTGAAAATAGGAGCACTCCCCCACTTTCAGGACGCAGCCTCTGGGCTTAGCCTCTCAGAAGACCCCTCATGGTTCCTGAGATGTGGCCAGGGTCACGAAGGCGTGTCCCGCAATACTTAGGGACTGGGAGACAACAACTGCTCTGGTCGGAGGCTGCCCACCTGGGAGGCCGAGACTGCTCGCAGGCCACTGCACTTAGGCGGACCCGAAGCGAACCCACCATCCCTCCAGGTACATTTGCTGCGGTTACAAGTGTTGAGTGCGGGTTCCCTTCTTAGGCAGCCCACGGGCATGCCCTGGAACTTCAGCGACAGCCCGGAGGCGCAGAGGGAACCAATGTGGGGCGCGCTGCGACCCTGTGATGAGCATCACTGCTAGGAATTGCTTTCCGAGCGCTGGTGCAGGTGACCTCGGTGTACCAAGGCCCATTCGCCCTGGGTGTGAGTGGTGACGTGGTGACCGGGCTGCTGATCGGGCACTACGGTGACACGCGGACCACCAACCTGTACCTGGGGGCGTGGCGGTGTCCGATCTGTTTATTCCGCTGAGGCTCGCGTTCTACCTGTACCGCTCCTGGCACTAGAGACTCTGGACGTTCTAGCCGCTTCTCTACCGCCTGCCTCTCTGCTTGGTCAAGGTCTGCATCTACGTCACGCTACCGCACGTGACCGCACTCGGCGTCGAGCGTTGCTGGTCGATCTGTCTCCCGCTGCGAGCGCAGGTCGGCCTCCAAGCGCTCTTCGCCGCGCTCTGGTGGCACTGCTCTCAGCTGGGCCCTTCTTCTTTCTAGTGGTCGCCTTCAAGATGTCCTCCCCGGCCTCTCTGCAGACCTAGACCTGAATTGCACTTAGCAGATTCAAACCCTCGCTCCGGGTTCTCGGGTCCTCGTAGACACCAGCGCTGTCTCCATCTTTTGGAACCGAGGCTGCGGAAACTGCAGGCAGTTCAGCCGCGAGTACCCTCCCAGCCCCCCCCAACCCCCCCGCACAGCTAGAGGCGCCGACGATCACGCTGTGGGTCACCACTGCCTACTTCTCCCTGCCCTTTCTGGGCCTCAGCATCCTTTGAGGGTTCATGGGACACTAGCTGTGGAAAAGCTGGGGCCCTGGGGAGGCCTGACAGGAAAGGGGTCAAGGGCAGACAGTCTCGTGTCTTGAGTAAGTGATGCTGCCTGCCTTCCATATGCCATGTTAGGTCCAGCAGCATTGCTCACCTCCACCTGTAGATCTGTTTCCCAGTGTTTGTAGGGGAGCCCCTGGGGATGGGAAACCCGGAAACAGCGAAGGTTTTCCAAAGTCGCTGCGATCCAGCATGAGTAACTGGGGGCTCGTTCAGTCTCTGTGACGTTTGCAATTGGGCATTACTTCCAGTTCCTTTGAAAAGATGAGGTCCATTGCTGAAGATTCTGTTTAATGTTAAGTTATTCCGGAGACTAAAGCAAACCAAGTTAAAAAAAAAAAAATACTCTGCAGACCTGTTGCTAATTGTTAGCAAGGAAAAACAGAACATATTTCTGAAGCAGATGCCAGAAGCAGAAGCCAAAACCGGGGCGGTGGTGGCGGCGGGGTGGGGGTGCTCTCTGGTGTAAAATCGTGCTTACACATTTGTGATCCTAATGTACAGTTAGAAAACAAACATCAACGCAATTCACAACCTGATATTTTTTGGGGGGAGGGGGCTAGCATGAGGATCTGTTCAAGTAAAGATTCAAACTTATTTTGCTGTTGTTTGCTCTTGCAGGTGCTGGGGAGGAACGGGACTTTATTTTATTGGAATGCCTTTGCTAATTCCGGTGCCTGGGTCTTGGTATGCAGTGGTGGTGTTTCCAGCGTCCATAGTGTATGGTTGCCTTTCCGTGTTGGCAGAACCATTTACATAAACTCTCAAGGTTCCCGGATGATGCACGGCTCTCAATACTTTCCTATTGTCGCTCTGCAGCAAATCGAATCGAAAGGTGCAGCGTTTGAGAACCACCCTTCCTTATCTGTGACAACTCCTGCTCCCAAACCCAGGCCGACCACTCGCCTTCCCAAACCCAGGCAGTCTCACTGGTGATGGGGCTGTGATGACGACGGATGCTAAGAAGAAATCCCACACTAGGCCAGAATTGAGTATAATAAAGGGTTATTTATTTAGGGATAGATTCACAGCTCATAGTCATCTGTTTGAATGGGGAACAGCAACCGAATCACACAGCCAAAAGAGAGACCTGACTCGCACTTTCCATTGGCATTTATAGTATAAGAGGCCACGCAAAAGTAGGCAGGTGACTTAAAGGCTGTAGAAATTCCGACAGCAGCGCTGGACCTTGGACTTAGCAAGCAGGAGCTGTGGAGCCTGGTGTGAGTCTGATTTTCTTATCCACCGAGATCCGGAGTTACTGCAAAGTAAGTCAGGGGATTAGAAGCAATGCCCTGAAAATTCTTTTTTAACTTCCACTTCCATTTAATTGCTAGGGAAGGGGCATGTGTGCCTCAGCCCGTATGTGGGGGCAGGGGGACAACTTGAGTTCTTCTGCCATCATGTGGGACCCAGGGCGCAAACTCAGACCACTGGGCTTGGTGAAAAGTGCCTTTACCCATCTTGCTGGCCCCTGCTCCGAAATTCTTAATCACAGCTTTGAAAACCACTTTACAATACAGTTTACAGGGCTGGAGAAATGGCCCAGCAGTTAAATGTGCATACTGTTCTTCCAGAGGACCCGAACTGGGATCCCAGCACCCACATGGAGCAGCTAGCAACCCATAACTTTGACTCTAGAGGAGCTAATGCCCACTCTCACTTGCAGCCTTCTTGGGCACCTGCACCCAAGGCATACAACACACACACACACATACACACACACCACACACCACAAATAAAATGAATATAAGTCTTTAAAAGTGTGTACTTTACAGTATAAATGCATTTTTAGAGGCCCTCTTTCCTGGCCTCCAAAGTCTAAGGGTCTCATTGTGCCTCTATCTGTATGAATGGCACCCTACAGAGAGACTCAAAGCTGGAGAGTTAGCCCAGGCTCCTCATTCATTCAGTGACTCTGCTCCCAGGTCACAGTACTGAAAAAAGGTACCAAACGACGTGGCAAAGTATAGTTAAAACATACGGGTTAACTTAAGTGTAAGCGTTAGCTAGTAACAACACTGAGCTATTGACTGATCTTTTATAATTAATATATGAGCCTCTGTGTGATAATGTGTGAAGACGCTGCTGGCTATTCGGGAGCAAGTGGTCAGGACATGAAAACTCCTCCTACTCACCGTCTTCCCTCTCCAAGAATGTCTCCTGAAGTCTCTGAAATGAGGCACAGCATTTGTGAACACTGACAAGAGATCCTTAAGAGTCTCCTACTAGAGGGACAACCCTGTGCCACCTAGAAGGTCACCGTGAGGAACCTTCCAGATGACTGTAAAATACCATAGATACAGACACAAAGACCTCTCTTTTAAAACGGCTGTTAGCATCATGCCTTGTTACAACTGGTGCGTGCTCCCCAGGTGTGGACATGTCAAGAGAGAGCCATCACCGTTCTCTCTGCTACAGAGTCCCTGAGATGCAGCTTATCTTCCTGGAAGGTTCCTAGGTGACCTCTGCCCTTTAGTAGACTGTGACATTATGCGGTGTCCTCTTTTCTTTCAAGGAACTGAATAGGTAATAACAGAAAACAATGTCACCGTATTCCATGTAGCAAAGGTTGTGTTGTGAGACTCATTTCATTTGTGTGTTGGTTAGTGTTTTTCCTGGAACTCAAAATAAATGTATCCCTGTCATGATCCAAATACCTTTGAAAGTCTGTTCTGAACTTGAAAATTATTCTCCACCCCAGTGCAGGCCTGGCCGTGCTTTGGGAACTGGAAGGAAGGTCCTTGGGAAACCGGAACTAGTCACTGGACAGGAGGGCAAAGCTGTGGCCTCTAGTCCTGGCCTCCCTCCCCAACCTGTCTCTCTGCCGTGACAGAATCACGTGGTGTCCCGCGGCTTCTCTCTGAACCCCGTTTCCTTCTGCAGCCCAACCTGCTGTTGTTAGGCGAGCTGTCTACCTTTAAGTTTGAATCTCATTAACTCTTGTGGTAAATGTTTATCAAACAAGTGCTGAGAGCCAGATGCAAAGGGTGGAACACACCAGATAAAAAAGTCCACATCATGATGTCAAAACCAATCTTGGGGGCATTTTTTTTTTCTTGAAACCAGTAACTATGTAACTTGGGCAAACCACAGATTCTGCTCACAGGTTAACAAAAGCACTTACATCAAAGAAAGGTGCAGAATGTCAGAGTTCTTTTTCCTAGAGAAGAAATTCCCAGTTCTGGAGGAAAATGCAAAGAGGGATTGACCACTGCTAAGAAGTGTTCTTGTGCTGGGTTTGTGGGTCACTAGTGATGTTTTTAAAGTCAGAGCATGGCCTGACTTCACCCTTCCTACTCATGTCCTCGGAACACCTATTAGTGTATGCGAACATTTTGTGTGTAAGTAGCTCAGAGGTCCAGGGCTTTGAAAGTAGCTCTACTTAAACCCAGATGCAATAGAACTCTTCAGGAGTCAGTCATCTAAAGACTCTGAGTTCTAAGAGAAGTCCCTGCTCAACCATTAGTAGACTTTAAACTCAACATTCTTTTTTCCAGAGAGCACAAGAACATCTCTTCTCATTGGCTGAGCAGTGTGGAACGTTCTGTGGCCATTGGTGGCTCACCATACCCCTAGCTCCGTGCAAACTGAGGGGAAGGTGAGAGAACCAGACTTCACTCACCATCTTCTTAGGACCACACTTTGACAGAATACCAGGGCGAGGGAGGTAACTCGGCGCTAAAAGGCTTCTTCGGAGCCTGACGGCCTGAGTTCGATTCCCAGGACTCACTTGGTGGCGGGAGAGAATTAGTTCCCACAAATTATCCTCTAACTTCCACCCATGCATTGTGGCATGTGCAGGCTTACAGATGAGTAATAAATACATTTATTATTATTATTAATTATTATTATTATTATTTTGTTTTTCGAGACAGGCTTTCTCTGTAGCATTGGAGCCTATCCTGGAACTAGCTCTTGTAGACCAGGCTGGCCTCGAACTCACAGAGATCCTCCTGCCTCTGCCTCCTTAGTGCTGAGATTAAAGGCATGTGCCACTACCACTTGACTGTAAATGCATTTTTAAAAATGTAATACTTTTTAAGTTGAAACAAAAAAGCCAAGATACCTTTTCAGTAAGTGCTAAAAAGTGACAGCTGTTAGGGTCCTTAAGAAGTTCCACTGTAACACCCGATTCGGTGTTACCCTCTCAGTTCAGTTCGCGCTCCATTGTACCATTTGCTAGTCGGGCAAGGGCCTGGAGATTGAAAGAACATATAAGAGACCTGGGTCATTTGAAAGGAGATCAGCCGAAAGCCGTTTATTCAACTTTGGGGAAATCCGTACATACCTAACTGCTGCACAAGGATTTCCACCTAGGCAGGTGGGAAATTACCATACTGTTAGATTCTGCATTTTCCAATGGATACCCACGCCCGATTCAGGCTGCGCGCTTTCCCGAACTCGGGCCCACGAGAATGGACCGTTGTCCTGAGGGTTAAAAAAGAGACACACACAAAAGAGACCTTTGCTCATTTACCAGAGTAAATGGCAACTTTATTAAACTCAAGTCGGGTATTTATACCAGTGGGCAACCAGGATCAAAAAGGGCAAGGCCTCCTCCCAACAAAAGCAGGAAGGAGAATAAAGGCCCCAGTAAAGGAAAACTCCTCCCACCCAGAGGGGGCTGGGGAAACTGGCCTCTGTGGGAGTTTTTCCCCAGGCAGGTGGTCGAGGGTTCAAGGCAATGTCACACAGGTTAGATGGGCCTTGGCGCCTGAGCTTCTTTGAGGCAGGTTGAGAAATTACCATTTTAAAGTAAAATAGATCCCTCAGGCTAATGTACCAGGCTGTAGCAGAACCAAGGACAGAACTAGCAGGAAGCTTAGCTGGTTAGTGTAAACATTATTTGCATCCAGTATTTTGGTCTCAGGGATCAGGGAGGACAGGGTCCCACACCATACCAAAGATGAAACAATGCCCTACAGCTAATCATCAGGTGAGGCAGAGGGAGCACAGGAACAAACAGAATGTTTTAGCTGGCTGACCAGAAACTGTCCTCAAGATGCACCCCAGGAGAAGGGGCAGACCCCCTGACCCTACATCCCACAAAGACCACCATCCACATATGCAATCAGTCAAGAGCACTTTTATTATTTCAGCTTGCTGGAACCTGGTGCCACACACAAAAACAAGATGGCGAAAGACCCAGAGAGGGAGGTGGAGGTTCTTTTTAAGCCTAACTAAGGGGAGTATCTAAGAAAGTTAAGTCCTCTTAACTACAATTGGCTTAAACAAGTGGCAATTATATTAGTATGTTCTAATTGACTAGGGTTAGTTAGGGGGAGCTGGTCAAGGCTATAGCCTACTTTTGGGAAGGCCTCAACCAGTCCCAGACCCTGACCATATTTGGCCATTATCACCTATGCAGCCCCCACCACAATGGACCCAGCAAGGACCTAGAAGGAAAGATCATGGATTTATATCAGCATCTATCTATCTATCTATCTATCTATCTATCTATCTATCTATCTATC